ACTGCTTTTGCTGTATTTTGGATCAAATAAATGCAGGCTTGATAAGCAGAAGAGAATTCTTTAAAAAACATTAAAAATATTACTTTTTATTAAGTTATTTCTGAATATTCTCTGAATGTTCAAAACGTCCATTTAAACCAAATATTTTTTCTTGGTTATGCGAATGTTAATGGAACATTCCCTGTTATCATTTTGCAAACATAATGGAATGTTACTTTGGAAACATTCCGAAACAAGTAGTAACATTTAAAAAACGTTAGATGAATGTCCAATTAAAACGTTTGAGAAAAACATTTTGTACCTGACTCCATTTTTCCCGTGCTGCGTTGTTATAAATATATCATATTTGCATATTGCATAAAATATTGATTATTATAGATAGTGATGGGAGAAACTAAGCTCATCAAAACTTTGAATCAAAATGATTGATTCACTGTTTCGAAGCACCTGCTGGTCAGAATGGTGTAAATGCAACAAACACAGCCCAACCATGTATAAAAACACCTTTTACAAACCAATTACAAATTGGAAAGTGCCCATCACTAATTATAAGACACTGTGTTAATATAATTCCTCTATAGGTCTGCATAAATATTGACAGACCCAGTAGAGGCATGTAAAAAAATCTTCTCTCCGCTTTCACAATTTCACTTTTCTGTGTTGCTTTAGGCATGAATGACTTCAGCTACCTGCACACCAACTGCTTTGAGATTTCCATCTTTCTTGGGTGCGATAAGTTCCCGCATGAGAGTGAATTGGCGTCGGAGTGGGAAAACAACCGAGAGGCTCTGCTGGCTTTCATTGAGCAGGTAAATCAGATCTCCGTGTGACATAGTGGCCGAAACTCAAATTTAGAAGGTGGACGGATGCAGAATTTCTATTTCCAGATAAAATGAACATTGTAAAACAACGACAAAGCCTCACAAAGTGTTGATCATATGACCCACAGGTGCATCGAGGCATTAAAGGAGTTGTGAGAGACGTGGATGGGAATCTTCTAGCAAATGCCACAGTGTCAGTGGAGGGAATCAAACATGACGTCAAAACAGGTAACACGTTCTGTCATTTTAATAGGTCTTAGTAGACTAATTCATATTGAAGCCTGTTTTTCCACCATAGAATAAAAAAATTAAAAGGTGATCAAAATTATGTCATAATGTTGACTTTATTTCTCACTGTTACGTGTTTATATCTCACAATTTTGAGTTAACATCTCACTATTCTGACTTTTTTTTCCCTCTGAATTGCAAGTTTGCATCTTGTAATTCTGACTTTATTATATTTTTATTATTTAATTTCATATTATAACATTTTTTATTTATTATCATTCTTATATATGTATCTGCAAACTCAGGATTATGAGAAAAAAGTCAGAAATTCTATATATACAAACTTGGAATTATGACTTTTTCTCTCTCTCGCAATTTCAGATTTATACCTCACAATTTTGGAATTCTCAGAATTCGGACTTTTTTTCTTTAAATTGCAAGTTTATATCAGAAATGACTTTATATCTCACAATTTTGAATTTTTATTATATTATTTAATGTATTATTATTTGTCACTGGTTCGGCTGACAAAAAAGTTTGGGAATCTCTGTTTTAATGTGACATATCTTTGTGTAGTATGTTACATTAATCCAGACTTCTATTTTTTTCTTAAAGCTGCCACTGGAGATTACTGGCGTCTTCTCAACCCGGGCGAGTATCGTGTAACTGCAAGAGCCGATGGTTATTCTTCTCAGACTCGTCTTTGCATTGTGGGATATGATGCTAATGCGACGCCCTGCAGCTTCACTCTGACCAAATCCAACTGGGCTCGAATTCAACAAATCATGGCCCAGAGCAGGAAAAGGCCAAGACTGGTTACCAACACACCCGTAAACACCAACAACCGCATCAACGTCGAGAGCACAGGGGCCACCGCGGGCCCCCAGAACGAACGTCTGCGCCGTCTGCGACTGATGCGCATGCGGAAGCTGCGAATGGAGAGGATGAGAGGCAGCGCGACCACAACAACGACTACAACAACCACACTTCCACCCACCACAGCAGCAACCTCAACTACAGACCCCTGGTTTGACCTGTGGTTTGAACTGGACAATGCAACCACTCAGGATTATAACTCTGAGTACAGAATAGATGTGTGAAATGTGTGGAATATTGCCCTCTTTAAGCTTTTTAAAAGTGTTCAGGCTCACACATCACACTCTCTGTGGAACAGAGTATAAAAGACAGAAATACCATTCTAATTTAATTCAAGGGGTCTTATGTGAATAGTCACGAGAATGAGGCATTACTATTGAATGATGCAAAAAAAAAAAAGTGCTATTTCTGAGCTGTCCTCAAATATCATGCTTGTGTACACGAATATTATAATGTGCACATATTTTCTAATAAAAGGTCTCAATATCATTGTGTTTTTGACTTTAGTGTTATACATAATCAGTCAAAAAAGCCTCTATGATTTTATGTACATGTAAGCCCCTGGGTCCTATACACACCATACTACTGGCTTAGCTCGCTAGTTTAATGAGATTAACTGAAATAATCGAAAAAAGTATAATGTTTATAATATCCACATCTCCATTCCAAAGATAACTGCTTTCCACGTCGAAGACATCCGACACAAACCTACAAACATATTCAGGTGAGGTAACCGGTTTACTGCTAACTAGTGAAACGCTCCATTAATATGATGAGCTGCAGCTCAAAATGCATGTTAGATGGAAACATTGTGCATTATGATCGAGTTTGTAGTTTAATTAACTATATTTTAGTTGGTGACAGTTCAATAGGGAATCAGTTGAAACCATCCAGTTATCTTACAGCATTGAAGTGAATGTTATCAGTGTATATTGTAATAGAAATTTGAGAAATTGTTGTATCTGATTATATTAGTCTCTATAGAATATATATATATATACACACACATACTGATAAAAAATTTATAGCCTGAATGCACTGTAAGTCGCTTTGGATAAAAGCGTCTGCTAAATGCATTAATTTAATTTAATTTAATTTAATTTAGAATGATAGTCAATGTAAAAAGAGCAAATGGGAGAAGCAGATGAACACAAAACAGGTGAAATGTGTTGAAAAGATTCATTATTTGAACCTTTTTTTTTATTATTGTATTGAAATGCACAAATGTAAACTAATATAAATGAATAAGATTTTTAAATTTTTTATTTTTTTATTTTTTTTACATATTTTTAATATAAAATAATGCAGATGAACGCAAAACAGGTGAAATGTGTTGAAAAGATTCATTATTTGAACCTTTTTTTTTATTATTGTATTGAAATGCACAAATGTAAACTAATATAAATGAATACGATTTTTTAATTTTTTATTTATTTATTTTTTTTACATATTTTTAATATAAAATAATATAAGAAATTCTATAAAATAATTGTAATATAATATAGTTGGATGTAATGCAACATTTACTTTCTGTATCAAATTCAAGTTTTGGCCCTTTGTCGTAAAAAAGTTTGGTCACCTCTGACCTAGAGACTTTTGTTTTGCGCACTTATGTTAAGGACTTTTATTTTCTCTGTGTCCGCTTTACAGACCAGCAGAGGCTTTTGTTTTGAACACGTCAGCTCCTATAGGTGTGCGTGAAGGACTTTTATTTTGAAATGCCGTTTTCTTGCCAGCTAACAAGTTTCTGAAAAAAAAAATCCTCGGATAGTTGTGAGTTGATTAAATACCTTCAGCAAACGTGGACTGTCCTGGATGCCAGTGATATTATAATCCATAATACAAATCATATTGTATAATAGCACTCCAGAGACACCGTTGTCAGTTTAGACAAATAAATAAAAGTTGTCTGATCTGTTTAGATTAGCTGTTTAGCGGATTAGCTTCAGTCTTGGCTGTTTTACGCACAGCAGGTAAGAATGACAATTCATTATCTTTATAAACAGTGTCACATTTCACATTATTGAACCCGTTTAAGGAAGATTAAGATTAAGAACGATGATTCTGTCGACATGGGGCTATTTCAGAGCTAGCACGACTGCTAAGCAGCTGTTAGTCATCAGCCTGTTGAACTGGATTGAATCGTAGTGACACATTTATATGCTTTCGATAATCTGATTCAACGCTTCTATGTTTTGGGACCCCTTTTTTAGAGGCCCTGCATTTGCTGATCTGTTATATATAACGTTAGCGGTGTGGTGTTGTGTAGTAGTTTAAGATCTGGGCTGGTTCAGGAGGATCTATGTGTATCTCTCAGGATCTAAACTGCTATCTGCTAACCTCCATGTGTTTTTTGACTTGGTCACATTTGAATATTGAGTTTCTTTTAATAATAAATGAAATAATTAATAAATAAAACACTATGGTTGATTGATTCAATAATAAGTCGCAAAGGAAAAAAAATCTGCTAAACATGAATAAACAATCAATAAAACAGTCTTAAATCAACCTCAGTGTTGTATTTTTTTTTTTACATTTAGTTAAAAAAAAAAAAGAATAATAAAATAATTAGTTAGGTTGATTCAATAATAAGTAGCTCAGAATAAAATCATCTGCTAAACATGAATAATCAATCAATAAAAACAGTACTGAATCAACCTTAGTGTTGTATTTCATATTATTTTATGATTTAGTTATTAAAATAATAATAATAATAATAATAATAATCCACCAAGGTTGATTCTATAATAAGTGCAGTGTACATCACTCAGGATAAAATCACCTGATAATTATGAATAATCAATCAATAAAAACAGTATTTGTTTATTTTATTATTATTTAGTTATATTTTTTATCAAATAAAATAGCAATAAATAATAAGTACAGTGTAGGTTGCTCTGGATAAAATCATCTAAATATGAATAATCAATCAATAAAAGCAGTCCTGAGCCAACCATTATATTATTTATTTTATTCTCATTAATTATTAATAATAGAAACTATGATTATTCAATAAAATGAATAATGTCTGTTTTGTTGTTGTGTCATTGCAGATCCTGTTCAGAAACGCCATGAAACTCTACAGTCTCAGCGTCTTGTATAAAGGCTCAACGAAGGCCAACCTGCTGAAGGCGGCGTATGATCTGTCATCATTCAGTTTCTTCCAGAGATCCAGGTATAGTATCTAGAATGCTCTCGTTATATGCTTTCATTAAGCTACTAATCTGTTTTAGCATGCCAACAAAACTGCTCTCATTGCAGCTGACTGTAAACTGTTTGTGCTTTGCAGTGTGCAGGAGTTTATGACGTTCACCAGCGCGCTGATTGTTGAGCGTTCAGCATTAGGAAGCCGTGCGTCTATCAAAGAGCAAGGTCAGTGACAACATTATCAAGATGAAGTCTTATTAAATGTTTGCCACTGGCCTGATTGTAGCTGTTGAGTTTAATTATAGCTTGTTCAGGATGAAGGACTAGTTATTAGGTTCACTATCATGTAATTAAAGCACCAAACTGATCAGCCGAACTACTGAGAGCCATTTTCATTTGAATGTTTTAGTAGATTTTATACACTGTGTGTGTGTCTGTATAGTTTTTATAAATTTTTAGTACAATTAATTAAACTACCGTAAATGAAAATAAGAAATGTTGCATTGGCATCTAGCTGAAAAAAATATGTTTTTAATATTTAATTTTATTTCAGTTAATGTTTATTTCAAGTGTGTTTATTTTAAGGTTTTCATTCTAGTTTCAAATGAACTGACAAGCATTTATGTAACGGCATTTCTATTGAAACTTGTATGTGATGTATTTAAATGTATTTGTGATTCTTAATGTATTTTTTCTAGTGCTGTCAAACGATTAATCGCATCCAAAATAAAAGTTTTTGTTCACATAGTAAATATGTGTGTACTGTGCATATTTATTATGTATATATAAATACACACACATCCATGTATATATTTAAGTGTTTTTATTTAAATGTTACGTTTATATATTAAATATATTTATATATATAATATACATTATATAAATATATACATGTAAATACATGTAAATATTTTCAAAATATATACTGAATGTGTGTGTGTATTTATATATACATAAGTATAAAAAATGCTGAATATTAATAATTAATCAATAAAACAGTCTTAAATCAACCTTAGAGTTGTATTTTTTATTATTTAGTCATTTGTTTCTAAAAAATATCATACTTATCAATAATAAGTAAGTAGCTCAGTATAAAATCATCTGCTAAATATGAATAATCAATAAAAAAAAACAGTACTGAATCAACCGTGGTGCTGTATTTTATATTATTTATTAAAAAATAAATCCAAATAATTATAATCCACCATGGTTGAATCAATAATAAGTGCTGTGTAAGTTGCTTAGGGAAAAAAAAACCCTGCTAAATATGAATAATCAATCAATAAAACCAGTCCTGAATCAACCTTAGTGTTTAATTTTATTATTTTGTTATGTTTTTTTATAAAATAAGTAAATAAATGAAGAAAAATAACAAAAAATAATAAGTGCAGTGTGGGTCACTCAGGATAAAATCATCTAAATATAAATAATCGATCAATAAAAACCATCCCGAATCAACCATTGTATTATTAATATAAACTATGATTATTCGTTAAAATAAATAATGTGTCATTTTTGTTGTGTCATTGCAGATCCTGTTCAGAAACGCCATGAAACTCTACAGTCTCAGCGTCTTGTATAAAGGCTCAACGAAGGCCAACCTGCTGAAGGCGGCGTATGATCTGTCATCATTCAGTTTCTTCCAGAGATCCAGGTATAGTATCTAGAATGCTCTCGTTATATGCTTTCATTAAGCTACTAATCTGTTTTAGCATGCCAACAAAACTGCTCTCATTGCAGCTGACTGTAAACTGTTTGTGCTTTGCAGTGTGCAGGAGTTTATGACGTTCACCAGCGCGCTGATTGTTGAGCGTTCAGCATTAGGAAGCCGTGCGTCTATCAAAGAGCAAGGTCAGTGACAACATTATCAAGATGAAGTCTTATTAAATGTTTGCCACTGGCCTGATTGTAGCTGTTGAGTTTAATTATAGCTTGTTCAGGATGAAGGGCTAGTTATTAGGTTTACTATGTAATTAAAGCACCAAACTGATCAGCCGAGCTATAGGCTTGCCGCGATAGACGGTGCTGACGGTGATACCGGTGTTAAGCCACAACACCGGTTACGTCACTTGCCCACCGCGGCACCGACCCCCTCCGTCGTTTTGATTTTTTTATAGTTTTAAAAATCATTTAGTTCAGTAAAAGAACAGACACTACAATTAAAAACTGAACGCGGCTGCTCAATGCAGTTG